CCCAAATATGGCACCTTGGCAAGTTAAATATAGAAATGGAAAGAATTTTCCATACAGCAGAAGCAGGAAGTTCCCTCTGATCCCCAGCAGTCAGCCCTTCTTCCCTGAAGCAGGTCAAAATACTCCCATGGGGCACTTTCTCTCCCCAGACTGCAGGGAGGACATGCTGATCACCAGAGTCAAGGGATTTAGGGCCACAAAGGCTATAGGAACAAACCTGGTTAAACTAACCTTTATCTTCCTAGTTACTTTTTTTACCATTTACCAGCCCTAGCTCAAACCCATGTGTCTCTCAATTCTTCATACATTGCTTCTTTTCCTAAAATGTAGAAGAACTGTCTGCTCTAATTGCCTCTGCTGGCCTCCTTGTTCTTGTGAGGCTACCACCAAAAAAATCAAGACACTTTACCAGTTTTTTTTTTCCTGGTCATCTGTCTTCGTCAATTTCTAAACCAGCCAGGGACCTTAAGAGTTGTTGAAGAAAACTTTCCTCTCTTGCAGCCCTGGAAAATCCATCTTGTCTTCCTGACCTTGGTTAAAACCTCTGCTGGGAAGCAGCACAGGGCTGTGCATGGCTGGAGGAGCCAGGGAGAGGCAGATGGAACATGTAGGGAGCTACCTGACCCCCAGCCAGGGAACTTGGCCCCACTGACAAATGCAGGGTGTGATGATGAATATTATAATGGAAGCATCCTGAATATCAGACCTCCCCCCAAGCCCCAGACTTCATTATTGCTGCTCACCGTGGTTGCCACTGTTGGCTTAGTGAATTTTCTCAATGAACTTTGTCAAGTCTGTGTTCTTTGCTCTGTGTGGCCACTGAATTCCTGCGCTGTTAACTTGGTGTTCAGCCAGTGGCTAGGCAGAGAGGTCACCTGCGTTTCTGAGCTATGGCTACAGATTGGAGGACCCCACAACCTCCTCCTCAGGTTTGAATAGTTTGCTCATGTGGCTCATGGAACTCAGAGAAACATGTTACTTACTAGATGACCAGATCATTAAAAGGACAGAACTCAGGACCAGGCAGCTGGAAGTGATGAGCAGGGCAAGGTGTGCAGCAGAGGCTCAGAGCTCCCCCACTCTCAGAGTGAAAGAGGCCTTTACCCACCTCCACTCTGACCTTCATCTGTACTTCCTAACTGATGATGTCCCTCCTTCAGGCTCATCTGTTAACTCAAGTCAAAGACCCAGCAGGCACGAAAACCACCCCTCAAGCAATAACCACTGCCCAACACCAGCAAGACCCTGCATGATGGACCCCAAGACAATGACTGGAACTTTACTGATCCCCTGCACCTGCCCACCAACCCCTGTCCTAGATTTTCCTCATATAAAATCCCAAGAGTGTTCTCAACACCTTGAGACCATACCAGTCCTCAGCCTTCTGGTGTCAGCTGCACTGAAATACATTCCTTTCCTGTATCACCACCACTCATCTCTCTGCCTCTGGATCAGGGACACTGTGAATAGTGCAATGTAGCAAGACAAATACCAGTTCCTCCCCTCCCCAGGGTTCACCGCTGCTGCTCCTCTCACTGCAGTTCTGCTGTTGGCTCAGACACTTCTGAACTGATTTTGTCAAATCCGTATCCCTTGTCATGTGTGGCCGTAGAAGTGTCTTGTCTATGAATGTAGTGGTAACTGTTGACTGGGTGAGATTTCCTTAAACATCTGGAAACTGCCCTCCTTCTTGGGGGGGGGAACCCCTCCAGTCTTTGCAGATGTGAAGGAGGGCTCTGGGTGTGTGGGTGTCGGGATACACCTTCAGCACCAGCCACACCTCTTAGCACTCTGCCTTGGCCTTCACTTCCCACTTGCCAAGTCTGAAAATCACCAGAGGGCAGAGCCTCGGGCTTTCTCAAGTCAGCCCTGAGTAGGCACCTAGCCCATGCATGCAGTGTCCCAGGGGCTTGGGACTATATCAAAGCTTCCAGGCCCTTCTTCCCTAAAGCTCCTACTCACTCAGCCTTTCTTCCAGTGATTCTGCTTGGTTTCTATTTGTCCCAACTCTTATCCATTGTCCTAGGGAGCAGAGACTCACATATGCCTTTAAATGGTTTGGACATCAAATGTCCTCCAGCAGCCACTCACTACTGGGAGAATTGGTGGAAAGCAACAAGTCACAGAGGAATCCAAGGGTCTGTACTTTGTGTTTCCCTCTCCTGAGATGGGGACATCTGTGAGAGGAGCAGGTGGCCTACTGGTTGGGGGGGATGCAGGCATCTGATGTGGACAGGACAGATGGGGTAGGTGAGGCTGAGCCCCCCGGGGTATATTCCTGGCATCTGGACTGAACTGGTCTTCAAAGCTGCAGATTAGTTGGGACCATGTTCAGGCTGAGGAGCAAAATGAGGGGAGAAGAGGAGACTGAGGAGGCTCGTAACAGACACAAAAAAATTGCTCAACATCCCTCGACATGAGGGAAATACAAATCAAAACTATAATAAGATACCATCTTACACCAGTTAGAATGGCTAAAATTAACAAGACAGGAAACAAGTGTTGGTGAGGTTGTGGAGAAAAGGGAACCTTTTTACATTGTTGGTGGGAATGTAAGCTGGTGCAGTCACTCTGGAAAATAGTATGGAGGTTCCTCAAGAAGTTGAAAATAGAACTACCCTACAACCCAGCAACTGAACTCCTGAGTATTTACCCCAATGATACAGATGTAGTGGGAAAAAAAGGCCCACCTGCACCCTAATATTCATAGCAGCAATGTTCACAATAGCCAAATAGCCTAGATGTCCTTCGACAGATGAATGGATAAAGAAGATGTGGTCCACATATACACAATGGAATATTACTTGGCCATCAGAAAGGATGAATACTCACCATTTGCATCAACATGGATGGAACTAGAGGGGATTATGCTGAGTGAAATAAGTCAAGTAGAGAAAGACAATTATCATATGGTTTCACTCATACATGGAACATAAGGAATAGTGCAGAGGACCACAGGGGAAGGGAGAGAAAACTGAATGGGAAGCAATCAGAGAGGGAGACAAACCATGAATAGACTCTGGGAACCAAACTGAGGGTAACAGAAGGGAGGGGGTAAGGGGGTGGGGTAGCTGGGTGACAGGTATTTGGTTTTGTTTTGTTTTTTTTAAAATAGCTTTATTGATGTAATGATAAACTGCACATATTTAAAGAGCAAAACTTGATGTTTTGACACACGTAAACACCAGTGAGATCATTACTACAATCAAGGTAATAAACATATTAATAGGTAAGGTAATAAACATATCAGCTCCAAAAGTTTCCTCCCACACCTTAATCCTTCCCTTTCATTCCTCCTCACTCCCATCCCCAAGAAACCACTGATTTGCTTTTTGCCATTATAAATTAATTTGCATTGGGTGACAGGTATTAAGGAGTGTACATGTTGTGATGAGCACCAATTAATGAATCACTGAACACTATATTACAACTACTGATGTACTATATGTTGGCTAATGAATTTAAATTTTAAAAATTAAATTAAATTAAAAAATAAAAAATAAAACCAAGGCAGAAACCATACATAACTCAGAGGGCTCCATGCTCCTGGACGCTGAGCTAGCAGCCACAGCCAAGGCCTCTGGCAGTCAGGGAACTGAAGGTCTGAGAGGCGGCTTGGTGCAGCCCTGCCCCTGAAGCCCCGTGGCCATGGCAAGGTGCAGGGACTGGGAGGGAAGACCCGACCAGAGGCCATCCTAGCTCCACGGCTGTTGCAGGACCACTCCCTCCCACCCCCACTGGCTGGTGTCTGTCTAGAACCAGGAAGAAAACCTTTTCCCTTGATTATTCTTTTTAACATTGTTGCTCAGCATTGACACAGAAAAACATCCGACATAAAACTGGAGCCATTCACAGCTGCAAATGAGCCAGAACTTATCAAACTGTAGTGACCGCAAAGAGAGGACTTTGTGTTTCCAGGCAGGACTCCTGTGTGTGGGTGCAGCTGGGGGCCCTGGACATGCCAGTGTGGGCAGGGCTGGGCTCCAGGGTCTCCTCAGGGGGACAGAAGTAGGAACCTCCTCTGACATCTCTGCTCAGGACAGCACCCTCTGATGGAGATGGGGACAGCCCCTTATGAGTCCTGGATGTCCTGGTGATTCTTGGGCATGGCCTGAATCTCACCTTCTTCCTGAAGGCCAGAGAGGGCAGCCCAGCCACCATGGGTCCCACAGGTCCTTCAGGGGACGGCCCACATGCCGCGGGTCCCACAGATCCTCTGGGGATAGCACCTTGGTGGGCTTGTGGTCCAGCAGGTACCTGTTCAAGTGGCTCTCGTCAGGCCACACAACCTCAGTCCCATTGGCCAGGTTGACCTGCATCACCTGGTGACAGGCCAAGGTCAGTCAGTGAACCTCCACCACCAAACCCCGTAAAAAGGCCCCCATGTAGTAAACGTCACCCTGGTCCCTGGGGATGTGGGCCTGGGACTGTGTCTGGTGCTAGTACCTAAAGTCTTCATGGGACACCCGGTAGAAACTGGGGTGTAGGGTGCCAAAGAGAGGGGACAGGATCTCCATGCCCACATGGTCGCAGAACTTCATGTCCGCATCCGCACACACCAGGTCGTCCACCTCACGGAGAAAGTGCTGCTCACAGAAGCAGCAGATTATTGCCATGTGCTGCATGAACACATCCTGCCACTGTGGGGCGCTGGGGACCTGGAGGACCACCACCCTCCAGCCCTCCCAGGGGGGCACACAGGCCCAGCAGGCCGCTGGTTGGTGACAACCTAGTAGGTGACCCTGTGTCCCACCATGATGGGTTTATCTGCCCTCTGCAGGGACAGCTCCAGAAAGACCACATATCTACAGGGACGAGGGACAAGGCGGGAGGAGGGTCACTGTCAGAGCCTGGCGGCAGGATCCCAGAGCTGGGGGGCCCATGGACATATGCACCTTCTTCAAGGGGGCAAGCCCTGAGCTGCTTTAAGCTACAGACACTCTCCCAGCCTGTCCCAAGCAAGTCTGCTTGTGGGACCTCCCTACCTTCCGCTTCCAGAGATGGGGGCCATCAGCACCCCATCATACAAAGGGGAGCCTGAGGCTTCAGAGGTAAGAAACCAACCCCACAGTCAGCATGCTGGAGCCAGGAATGCTCCCCCTGTGCTGAGCTCCCAGGCAAACCCTGCAGGTGGCCTCCCCTGGACGACCTGCTGCAGGTCCTGTCCCCACCTGCCAGGAATGGAGCACCTTTGGGCACAGCCCTCCTTTCTATGGCCTATAGACTGGCTAGAATTAGCAGGGCTGGCCTCTTGCCCCACTTTGCTTTGAGGGGGCTGTCACTGGCCCCCATAGAGCTGTCTCCACTCCCATAGGGTCCTCCCTTGAAGACTTCTGGGCCTCTTGCTTACGAGGTCCATCAGTCAACCACTGCTATTCCTAGGAGCGGTCACCCTCGAACTCTCCCAGATCAGGAATCAGGTCCAGCCCGTGGGCAGGGAAGGGGAAAGAGGACTGCTAGAAGAGAGGGCTTGCTTAGACCCCAGCTGTGAGTCCAAGAGTGGAAGCTTCCAGGTCTAGGTCTACATCTCCTAAGCTCCAAGAAGTCAGAAGTCCTATCTCTCTGAGGGGACAGCAGCTCCCCCATTGTCAGCAAGGGTGGTGAGACCCTCTGAGATTTATTTTTCTTAAGGTTTTATTTATTTATTTGACACAGAGAGAGAGACAGCTAGAGAGGGAACACAAGCAGGGGGAGTGGGAGAGGGAGAAGCATGTTATCTGTTGAGCGGGGAGCCCAACATGGCGGGGTTCAATCCCAGGACCCCGGGATCATGACCTGAGCTGAAGGCAGATGCTTGACAACTGAGTCACCCAGGTGCCCTGAGACTGATTTTTTTCACACAGGCACTAAGGCTACTTCCCTGTGCCTAACCCCATACTGGGCAGCTTAGTAAATCACTCACACAGGGAAAGTGGGCACTATATTTAAATGGGGGACAAGGCCACACACACCTGGCAGAAACGAGTCAGATCACAGGGCAAGTCCATGTCCAGCCCACAGGGGAATAAGGCAGACATGAAGCAGGGGAAGAGGAGTGCTCCTGGTAGAGGGCAAGGAGAATGTAAAGGCCTGGAGTCAGGCCCAAGGCACATGTGAGAGGACCACACACCAGGGAGGCCCACGGGGTTGGGGGATACAGTGGGAGAGGAAAGGCTGGAGAGGACAGACAGATGGGGGAGTGGATCACAGAGAGGCTCAAAGGTTATGTTCTGAGAAGATCATTCTTCTGGTTACTGGGGAAGAATGGGTTCTGTACAACGGAGGACAGGGAGACCCTAACCCTCAGCCCTAACCTTAACCCCACCCTAACAATCAAACATCATGCTCATGGAGCTATTTGGAAGGAAAGGGGATTGCTGTCAAGCCATAACTCCCCAATCAAATATGGGCCTAAGTTACAAAACCCTCATCGCTATACTGAAGATGGCATATATCAAATCTGGGACACATATTTGTGGCTCACACCCACTATTGGACAGCTCAGTCAAAAGGCAGTTTTATGCTGGGAACAAAGAAATCATACATATGATCCTTGGGCAAATAACACCCAACATCTAGGGTGGCTATCATTAGAAATGTGTTCCCAAATAATAGTACTCCAGGCTACTGACTAGTTTGCTACTGATTGGGTAAGGCGACCTGGCATTAAATGGTCAGCTTCAAACGGAACCCACTGGATGTGTGGAACTAAACTGTGGCCCTGGCTTCCTCCAGGGTGGATAGGTGGCTGTACCTTAGGATTTGCCTGGATTCATGGGCTCATTACTAAAACCATCACCACTCCAGCTAATCTCCCTGATTTAAAGCAAAGATGGACACGCTCTGTTTTTAAATGGTATGGTCACTTAACATCCATTTTTGCTCAATCTGTGGGACTAGAGGATGTCATTTGGCATGTAGAAGCCCTTAATAAATATACTACAAAGGCACTCAATGATTCACTAAATAGCATCTCCCTACTTAATATCGAAGTCTCACAGATGTGCAAGGCAGTCCTACTAAATAGGATGGCCTTAGATGTCCTGACAGCAGCACAGGGTGGCACATGTGCAATTATCAAAGCAGAATGTTGTGTGTACATCCCAGAATACCACAAAAATGTTACAGGATTAATAAAAGACATGAATACCCAGATTGAGGCTCTACAGGATCTTTCTCTCTCTCTCAGTGATGGGTTAAGCTCCTGGTTTAAAGGAGGTCTATGGCCAACAACTAAAAATCTTCTTTTGGGGCTTCTCATTCTTATAGCCTTATTAATCTTCATGTGTTGCTTTGTTCATTGTTTCTCTACTTGGTGCCGAGACTCCATTGCTGCAATGACTTCACCACGACAGATAATCCTTTCCACGCACAGAGACACTTCACTGTCAGCACTGGATTCAGCTGCCTCCATCTTTCGTAACTCCCCTACACATTCCTCAACTGATCAATGTTGACCCAAATAGGTAGAGACAACTCTACGCCCCCATACAGCAGGAAGATGTTACAGAAGATGAGACCTTCCACCTTCAACTACCTTAAAGATTTAAGGGTCAAAATTGTTCAGGGGGGAATGATGAGGGAGCAGAAGCCTGACTGAGGACAAAGCAAAAGCTGGTACCTTACACCCCCTCTCCCCCCACCTCGGTGACATGTGTGACATCCCTCAGGCACTCCTGTCTGCCCTAAAAAGAAAAACAAATAGTTAACTTGCAGAGATCACAATCCTGCAAGACAGGAGTCTCCCTTGGTTTACAAATATCCTAATGATTTACAACAAAGAAGCTATCTTATCAATAGCCTAACTTCCAGAGACAAGCAACTCAGTTCCTAAAGCCCTAACACCGCCCTCCACTCCATAAAACTGAAGGAGGCTGAGATGAAAGTAAATATAAATAAAGTTAAATTTCTTCTAAACCTAAAGCTCACTGACAAGGATGCTTGATAGGAGGAATGTAACATTCCATCAGGAAACTCCCAACTGTCTTCATGTTAGTGTCTCATTAGAGGTTAAAAACAGCCTTGGCTTGACAATAACCAGGCCTCCAGTATCCTGACAGTCTTCTGAACACCCCCTTTGTCCTCACCTACCCAACTCCTATGTATATAATCAGCCACTCCACAGGATAGCAGAGGAGCAGCTCTTTCTGCCCACAGGTCCTGTCCTCATGCCTTAATAGACCACCATTTTGCACCAAAGATGTCTCAAGAATTCTTTCTTGGTCATCCACTCTGGACCTCACCCCACGGAACCTCACGTAGATTCTAGAAATTCATCAATAATGCTTCATGGCCTACATCAGATGATGAAGTCTTAAGTTTGAATATGAAGAATACCTCAAAACCAAACTTAAGAAAACTAATGAATGTTTCTCAGCATTTCAAGATTTGGAAACAAAACTTGGCCTTGTATCACCGGGAGATAAAACTTTATTTGAGGATGATAGCTCTGAAAACAAATGTGAAGATATGGTTGACATTCCTTCCAAACCATCAGTCAAAGTCTGTGACTCTTCTCCTCCTGCCTTGCCATCACCTGATTCTCTTCTAAGACCTCCTTTCACATTGTTAGGCCTTGGTCTTACAAAGGAAGAAGAGGAGCAGCCAGCAATTGGAACAAAGGACAATGGTATTATTGAAAGTGTTCCACGAGAGCAAACAGTTAATGACTGTTTGACTTCTGCTGACAGGGCAGATAAAAATGATAGACATGTTATGCTGTCAGCATTAGGATTTGCAGAACAAAATGAAGAATCACTTTGGGATTCTCAGAGTAATTCTGAGAGTCTTCCAGAGAAATACATTGATCATTTATCTGGAAATGCAGATCAGAAAGGGACAAGTACATTAAATGAACAAGTAGAAGACTCTCTGGGAAAATATTCTTTCTTGAAGCCTACTGTTGAGGAGAATGATTCTGTTCCTAAGAAAGGAGGAGAAATGGAGGAAAAACAAACACCCAAATCAGATTCTCCAGGAAAATATTCTTACTTGAAGACTGCTGTGGAGGGGAAAGATTTTATTCCTAATCAACCCAGAGAAATGGAGGAAATGCAAGCATCCCAATCAGATTCTCCAGGAAAATATTCTTACTTGAAGCCTGGTGTTGAAGTAAACGATTCTCTTCCTAATAAACCAGGAGAAATGGAGGAAAAAGAAACATCCGAATCTGATTTGTCCAATTGGAAGTCTACTTGTTTGAACCAAAATAGTGCAATTTGTCAAAGATCCAGGGATTTGAAAGTTAATGATAAACACCCATCTGTATTACAGTCGGTGACCAAAAAGTGGTTGGCATCCACAGAGTTTAAACAGATGACTTTAATAGATAAAAAAAGGATTAATAATATTGGAGCTGTGTTTATGTTAGAAAATTCTAAACTCCATGATGTGTGCGAATCACAGCTACCAGAAAACAGCACAAAGAAGACTTTTCAGCGGAACTAGACTTAGAAATGACAACAGAAGAAGAGGAAGAAAGTCTTGATGAAAGTGAAAATAAGCATCTACAGGATAAAGTTATTTTACAAACATGTATGCCAACAGAAAGGACATCTGAAAATGAAATACAGCAAGTTAACTTTCCACTATTGTATCTGTCAAAAATGGCTCAAGAACCAGAAATAAGGAATGTGATAGAAAGGATGATATATTATTATATTCAGAACATCCCTCTGTTCAAAAGTATGAGGATATGTGGACCAAACAAGACAAATTAGGGTGGAAAAATAAGTTAAAACTCATCACCAGAGAGTTAAAGCAGATGTTTGGTGAAATTTGTGAAGAAAACAATACTGCTTATCCTAAGGAAGAGTCACTACATGGTCACTTTAAAGAAGGAGCAAACTTAACAGAAATACCTTCTAATTTGACAAATGATAGACTTGATTGTGAGAAAAAAGATGCATTTGCAGTGCCGGTCTTTGTAGCATTTCAGGCATTACCTGAACAGAAAGATTCTAGACTCAAAAATGTCGTTCTTTCTCATTCATCCTTGGATTATATCCCGGTCATCTTCTGATCTTTCTTTAAGTGAAAATAAATCAGACTATGAAGATGATAACAAATCAGACTTTGAGCATATTTTTAACAAAAATGAGAGTTTTGATAGTGATAGAGAAAATTAAAAAGTAAGGAACCCAAAGGTTACATTTGAAGTGAAAGAAGACCAAGAGTTTGACATTCAAATGGCAAAAAGTATAAACCAAACTAGCACTGATTGTAAATTAGACATTGGATGTATACCTCAGTCTAGTAACCCAAGAAGCCGTTTTGATTCTTGGCTTGCCCGCTTCAGTGAGATGAGACAAAAGAGTCAAATATAAAGGCACAATATTTCTGCTGTTACAAACACAAGAAAACAAAAGACTTGTTCCAGAAGCCATTATATGTAGATAATGACAGTACTAATAACTATAGAAGTATGGATCCCGAACTAGAAAATGGGAGTTCTCCATCATGTAGTTACAGAACATCAGAAGTATATCTAAAGGAAGATTTACAGCAAGATGTGAAAAAGTTTAAGAATGAGATAGGCACGTTGCAGATAGAGTTCCTGTCTTTGGAATGGCAAAACCTTCAACTTCAAAAAGAGGTAGAGGTTCACTTTGCTGCTGCTCTTTTGCTCTTTTCTTTATCAAAGATCTAAGCCATTTTGATTTTCCAGTTATGAAAAGGTTCGTGTATCAAACAGGGTTGTCTAAATATGTAATTGTGTTCAGAAATAGATTATTTTTGCTATCTAAATGGTAGAAGTGCAGGAAAAAAGTCTTATGATTTGTTTTCCTTAAGTTTCTCTGTCAGTCTCCCAAGTGGCATATGAACTGGGAAACTAATTTAGCTATGCACCATGTGACCTCATGAACCAGAAAACCATAAAGAAAATTGCTTAAAAAAAAATACAGTTATCTTGGGGCGCCCAGGTGACATAGTCAAGCATCCAACTCTTGGTTCTGGCGTGGGTTGTGATCTCAGGGTTGTGAGATCAAGCCCGGCCTTGGGCACTTAGCTCAGCATGGAATCTGCTTTAGTTTCTCTCTCCTTCTCCCTCTGCCCCTCCTGCTTATGATCTCTTTCCCAAATAAATAAATTTTTAAAATTTTTTAAATATTTGTACATCAGAAGATATTACCTGGAAAGTGAAAACACAGCCCCCATAATGGAAGGAAATATTTATACATTATTTATCTATTAAGAGTCTGTTGCCCAGAAGACATAAAGAGTTTTTACAACTCAACAAAAAGAGAATCCCATTTTAAAAATGGATGAAGGAATTGGATAGACCCTTCTCCAGAGAAATTATACAAATGGCGAATAGTACATGAATAGATGTTAAACATCCTTAGTCTTTATGGAAATGAAGATATAAACCAATTAGATGTCCTGTCACACAAGTAGAATCACTATGATCAAGAAAATGAAAAATAACAAAAAGATGTTGAGAAACTGAAACCCTTAAACCTTGCTTATGAAAAATGGTGCAGTCTACATATAAAATAGTTTGGCATTTACTCAAATAGATCAAAGCAGAATTACCATATGGTTCAACAATTGTACTCCTAGATATATACGCCCCAAATTGAAAACACTGGCTCAGACAAACTAAAATGTACAGGAATATACATAGCATCTGTGTTCACAATAGGGAAAAACCACAAACTATGCAAATGTCCACCCATAGGGAAAAGGATAAACAAAATGAGGTAGGTCCATAAATGGCTATCTTGTTCTGCCCCATGAAGGAATGAAGTAAAATGGCTCATTTGGGGGGTGGGGAGGCATGGGGGGGAAATATGGTGGTTCCTTAAAATATTAAATACAGAATTCCACTGCAGCCTAGTATGCCCACAAAAATGGAAAGTAGAAGTACGCATATTCAGAGCAGCATTTCTCACAAAAGCCAAAGTGTCCACTGACAGATCAATGGATAAACAAAATCTGGTTTATACACCATGGAACATGATTCAGCCTTAAAAACAAAGGGAGTTCTGACACAGGCTACAACACGGGTTGAACATGGAAGTCATTACACTGAGTGAAATCAGCCAGTCATGGAAGGACAGATACTGTATGATCCCACCTCGATGAGGCATCTGGGACACAAAGCTGGATGTGGCTGCAGGGGCCCAAGGGAAAGGACATTGGGAATTGGTGTTTCATGCATACAGGTTCCCTCAGGGAGAATGAGGAAGTTCTGGAGAATGATGTACAACCATGGGACCTCAGCTAAGGCCAGAGAATTGTGTACCTGAAATGTTTTAAGGGGCCAATGTTCTTATGTTCAGTCACTGTGAAAAAGTGAATGAAGGACTGATGCATGTCACAGTGTGGATAGACACTGAAAACAGTCCCAGTGACATAAGCCAGATAGAAATACCACTCAGATGGGAGCCATCTATGCCGCTTAAGTCCATCGAGGTTACCCAAATAAGGGAAAGTCCTGGAAGAAGTTGCAGAAGAAGAAAACTGGATCCGAATGGAGAAGACATTTCAGACTGTCGGGCAGGTGGTGATAGCTGAAGCGGGCCTGTTGTCTGGGTTCAAATGTGGGAACCATCATGGTTTCCTCACTTGAGGTTATATGGTGGTTCCGTGGGACACTGTCCCTGTTTGGGGTAAAATGCACCAAAGTAGCCTGTGTGAAGTGGTAAACATGGTAAAGAAACAATAGCTGGGGAGTCTGAGTGTGGAGATAAAGCATATTTGTGCTGCTGTGACAAGTTACTGCAGATTTGAAATCACTGCAGTGGAGTAAATGACTCTTCCAAACACCCACATCAGCACCACGTCACAGAAGCAGAGAGAACATCAGACTTTGGGATGGAGGCCAAGCCCTCCTAGATCCAGTTCACCCACTGTGGAGAGGCCACTCGCCCTTGGAGAAAGCCACATGTTAGCAAGAGACTCGTGGGAGGATTAAATCAGGTGTCCCTGTATGTTGGGTGCAGTAGAAGCAGTGGGATTTGGAATTCCAATTCTCCACAACACTCCACCACAACCTGGTTAGAACTGTGAAAAAGCATGAAGGGAAGCCTCAGTAAAGTGGACTGGGGTGCCAGAAGGGGAGGCTGGAAGGGGGTGCCTGGTGCTCAGTGCCCATTACAGACCCCACATTACAATCCCCCATGGGAGAGCCAGGGGAAGCTGGAGGGTCATTTCCTACAAGAAATCCTCCATCCCTGCAGCTCAGCCAGTGAGAATCCTCCATCCCCCTCAACCCTTGTCTTTCTCCAGTGGACTTTCCTTCCAAGCAACCCTCCCAAATTCTTCCTCCTTCTCTATGAAATAATGTTCCTCTCCTTTGTTTCTTGCACTTGCCTGTGATGTGACCGTAGCTTGCTCATCCCAGATTGCCATTCTCTGCTATTCCTAAATAAGCCCATTTTGCTGGTCAAATAACTGGCAGTTTGAGTTTAAGGCAAACAGAACCAATAAATTCAGGAAACTTGCCAGGAACAAAATCAATATACACAAATCAACTGCATTTCTATGTGCTCCAAAGGAACCATCACAAAGAGACTATGGAGAACCATCTCATTTACTACTGCATCCAAAAGAACACGATACCTAGGAGTCCCCTCAACCAAGGAGGTGACAGACCTGTCCTCTGACAGCCGTGATACCTAGGAGTCCCCTGAACCAAGAAGGTGACAAACCTGTCCTCTGACAGCCGTGAGACACTGATGACAGACAGGGAGGGAGACACACGGAGATGGGAAGACCCTCTGTGCTCAGGGAAGAACTGACACTGGGAAAATAGCTACTCTCCCCAAAGCCATCTACAGAGTCCGCACTGTCAGTCCCAAACTTCCAGACTCCAGACCAACCCTGCAGGTGTGGACACGGGAAGGACCCCACATAGCCGAGACGTGGTGCCCGCTCCTTGACTGCAGACTGTCTCAGGAGCCCCAGGAACTGAATCCGCATGCACACAAACACAGACGCGGGACCCAGGGCGCGCATCTGAGCCCAGAAAGGGGAGACCGCACAGCCTCACGCACAGCACCCTGGGAGGCCACATCACCACACACAAAACCACAGAAGCCCCAGTGTCTACACAGCGCACCCTTCCTCCGTGGGGTTCTGAGACCATGCACCCCCTCACCAGTCCCAGCTCAGGCGGTTTCTCCTCACCTCCTCCTCCAGCGGCAGGTCCTGAGGGGGCGGGAGTGCTGTCAGTGTGGACGTGGACCCACG